AACGAACTGTAATTTCCAATCAAGATTTGTTGGGATTGTTGTCACATCATGTCACAGCATGACTTAGAATGAAAATATGTCAGGAATATACTGTAATATTTATATAACTATTATATATATATATAATGGGCTAACGCCCTGGTGCCGCCGACCCCTTTTCAAGGGTGGAGGAAGAAGTGCGCAGACATAGAGCCACTCAAGAAGCCCAGCAAACGCCTAGGCCTTGGGGTTGTTGTGGCAGAGTTTCAACAGTTTTAGGGGTTTTAGGGGTTTTAAGGGTTTTAGGGGTTTTAAGGGTTTTAGGGGTTTAAGGGCTGGCAAACGGCAGGCTTGGACGCCCATAAGAAGCCTAAGAAGCCATTGTTGTGGGTGGCAGAGTTTCAACAGTTGTAAGGGTTTTAGGGGTTTTAAGGGTTTTAGGGGTTTAAGGGCTGGCAAACGGCAGGACCGCGCTGAGAAGAAACCATGGATCTGGCCTTGGGGTTGTTGTGGCAGAGTTTCAACAGTTTTAGGGGTTGTAGGGGTTTTAAGGGTTTTAGGGGTTTAAGGGCTGGCAAACGGCAGGCTTGGACGCCCATAAGAAGCCTAAGAAGCCATTGTTGCGGGTGGCAGAGTTTCAACAGTTTTAAGGGTTTTAGGGGTTTTAAGGGTTTTAGGGGTTTAAGGGCTGGCAAACGGCACGCTTGGACGCCCAGAAGAAGCCTAAGAAGCCATTGTTGTGGCCTTGGGGTGCCTGTTGGCGTGGACCGCGCTGAGAAGAAGCCATTGTTGTGGGTGGCAGAGTTTCAACAGTTTTAAGGGTTTTAGGGGTTTTAAGGGTTTTCGGGGTTTAAGGGCTGGCAAACGGCAGGCTTGGACGCTTAAGGGCTGGCAAACGGCAGGCTTGGACGCCCAGAAGAAGCCTAAGAAGCCATTGTTGTTTGTGGCCTTGGGGTGCCTGTTGGCGTGGACCGCGCTGAGAAGAAACCATGGACGTGGCCTTGGGGTTGTTGTGGCAGAGTTTCAACAGTTTTAGGGGTTTTAGGGGTTTGAAGGGTTTTAGGGGTTTAAGGGCTGGCAAACGGCAGGCTTGGACGCCCATAAGAAGCCTAAGAAGCGGTTGTAGGGGTTTAAGGGCTGGCAAACGGCACGCTTGGACGCCCATAAGAAACCTAAGAAGCCATTGTTGTGGCCTTGGGGTGCCTGTTGGCGTGGACCGCGCTGAGAAGAAACCATGGAGCTGGCCTTGGGGTTGTTGTGGCAGAGTTTCAACAGTTTTAGTTAGGGGTTTTAGGGGTTTTAAGGGTTTTAGGGGTTTTAAGGGTTTTAGGGGTTTAAGGGCTGGCAAACGGCAGGCTTGGACGCCCATAAGAAGCCATTGTTGTGGCCTTGGGGTGCCTGTTGGCGTGGACCGCGCTGAGAAGAAACCATGGAGCTGGCCTTGGGGTTGTTGTGGCAGAGTTTCAACAGTTTTAGGGGTTTTAGGGGTTTTAAGGGTTTTAGGGGTTTTAAGGGTTTTAGGGGTTTAAGGGCTGGCAAACGGCAGGCTTGGACGCCCATAAGAAGCCTAAGAAGCCATTGTTGTGTGTGGCAGAGTTTCAACAGTTGTAAGGGTTTTAGGGGTTTTAAGGGTTTTAGGGGTTTAAGGGCTGGCAAACGGCAGGACCGCGCTGAGAAGAAACCATGGATCTGGCCTTGGGGTTCTGGTGGCAGAGTTTCAACAGTTTTAGGGGTTTTAGGGGTTTTAAGGGTTTTAGGGGTTTAAGGGCTGGCAAACGGCAGGCTTGGACCCCCATAAGAAGCCTAAGAAGCCATTGTTGTGGGTGGCAGAGTTTCAACAGTTTTAAGGGTTTAAGGGTTTTAGGGGTTTTAAGGGTTTTAGGGGTTCAACAGTTTTAAGGGTTTTAGGGGTTTTAAGGGTTTTAGGGGTTTAAGGGCTGGCAAACGGCACGCCTGGACGCCCAGAAGAAGCCTAAGAAGCCATTGTTGTGGCCTTGGGGTGCCTGTTGGCGTGGACCTTGGGGTTGTTGCTAAGAAAGACAAGTTCCACACCCGAGGTGGTCCCAGGCGCCGCCCCTGCCTTGGCTAAGGCCGGGGTCGGCGGATATATTGGTATATAAATATGGGTATATCGAGAGATGCGTTTAAAATATAAGTGTATATGTACAAATTTATGTATATATATATATAATATTAGTAATATATATATATATATTAGTATCTATACACAAATGTTAGTATATATCTATATTAGAAAAAAATACTATATATATATATCTTGATATTTAAATACCAATATTTTCAAGTATATATATTTATATTAGCATACATATATATATACATATATATATATACATTAATATATATATATATAAGTATAAATATGTAGTAGTCTATTGAAATTTTAGTACATATATCTAAGTACGTATACATATATATTTACATATTAGTATATTTATATTGGTATATATGTATATTAATATGTATATATATATATTAGTATATATATATATTAGTATGTATATATATATATTTGTATATACATATATATACATGTGGGTACATATATATATATATATACATATATTTGTATTTATCTAAATATATTAGTATATATATATATATACATATTAGTATATCTATTAGTATATAGTTTGGAACCATTCCGAATGGATTTTTGACTGAAACCGTGGACATCTCCAGGGATGTTGATAGTATGTTCAAGAATTGGGGACGTCACATCCACAATAATAGTCTGATTTCGGAGCAGTTGCCTTTTCATATGATGTTGAGTTACATCTTTTTTTTTGTGTTTTAAGTCCACATATTTTGGGCGATATGAGTTTGCAAATATGTACATTTATACACATTTATATGCATTTATAATGATTGTATATGTCCACTGTATATTGACATAGGGATACATAGGCGTGTAGGAATGTATTGTTTTGGTTAGTTACACAATTTTGCACCCACTATTTCAGGGTATCAATTCCAGTTTTCATCTCATTATCGCCGCTACACAAATTCCTCTGGCCACCGTTGCGTCGAAGACGACGGACACCGGTGGAATGATGAGCCATGGATCCCACTCCCACGCCGGGCCAGAGATCCTTTGCCAAATGACCGCATTGTAAAAAAAACCGAGTGTGCGGACTGTGTTGACTGGCCTCCAGGATGTGTTAAAAACGTCGGTCATGGTGTGTAGATGTGTCTAGTGCTGTGCCACTCATCGATATTTACAGAAATTAAACAAGTGCCATTGATACATTATCATAAATTATCAACCATTACGCCAAATAGGTCCAATTTGTTTTGTAGAGAGTCTTTTCAAATCTTCTCTTCTGTGGGCATTGCATCACTACTTACTGTAACATGTTCAGTATCCCACTGTGGAGTCTGTCAAGGACAACCGCACAACACTAGGATCATGTTTAGTGTACGCTAAAGCACAAAATGGTTTGGACATGTTCTGTCCAAGCAGGCTGGTGTCACTTGTTCCACCTGGGAACCAAGAAATCTTAGATGTGCTCGGGAATATTAATTTGTACCGATTTTGCTACAGCAAAAAGGAACACCTGCAGGATTCCGACAGCTCTTATGCTCCCTGAGTCCAGTTCACGTGCGCGACTGCGAGACTGCGAGAAGATTTCTATTTCATGCCTGCAAGCTTCAAGATAAACGGCACAGTTGCAGTGGACCTCCCACCGCAATAACGCACTGTTTGACAACATTTTGGATATTTCACGCAGGCATTCCTGATTGTAGTGAAGCGCATGATTTGACACTGAAACCACTCTTCCTACCTTGCTGTTTGGATGTTTTGTCATTTTTGTCCCTTTTTTTCAAGGTGCATCCCTGAAGCCGCGCCCTTCACGGCCATGCCATGGCATAATGCTGTCTGCAGATCGGTCTGGCGATGCAGGTGGGATTTTTGGCCCAACAGTTGGATCGCGAGTTTGGTGCGCCCAAAATGTTTTTGCAAGCATCTCCTGTGCACATCGAAAGTATAGCTTTAATGTCAGCGATGTTTGCTCATTGATTTATATTTTTTCTCCATTAGTAGTGAAGCATTTTGGGCAGCATGCATTTGACATTTGCAGAGAATGGTTTCCTCAGAGTCTCCTTTGAACACGTGGATGATGCCCATTGGCCAGGGAAGGAAGAGGTCGAAGAGGACCCGGCAGGTGCGACATGCTGCGACATGCTGCGACATGCTGCGACATGCTGCGACATGCTGCGACACGTGTTTCTGTGGAGCCAGTGCTCGTGCCTGGAGACAGGAAGACTACGAGACAGGCTTTTCTGGTTGCGAACTTGGGGGAACAAAATGCTGGAAGTTGCACACAGCCCTCAGATCTTTCAACAAAACATCTCTGCATTTATTGTGTAAAATGAGGTACCTGCTAGTACGTACAGACGGCTGTGGGCCAAAACCAACTACCTCCAAAGTCTGGTAGGACGACCCCCAACGCGTGAAGAGAAATCAAAGTCACTGTGGGCAGATGGATGTGCAGCTCTCCTCTTACAGACTTTTTAGGGTCAGAGTGGTAGGTTCTTCGACGTTTGCTCGTTGAGAAATACTAGTGCTTGCGATCTTGGGACTTAAGGAGTTTGTGTGTAATTACGTCTCAAAATTATGATGCCCCATGATGCATCTAAAACTTGGTCGAGAGACTGAGAGATGTGACACATCACGATTCAACAGTGCAAACAACTCTTGTGTTGTATTATTGCTGTTGAGTCAACGTTGAGGCTGTACCTTTTTGCCTTTTGGTCGCAATTCAAACCCTCAGAGCCTGAAACCAAGTGAAGCACACAGCTGTCAGGCACTTGGAGAAAGAATTCTTCTGCACGCGGACTTCGGAACACTCACCACTTCTAAACCAACAAACTTGTTGCACTGCAACAACATATCGAAAATGGGTGAACCAATACCCATGTGCCCCAGAAAATGGTGACCTTTTGCTACCAACGAAGAATCTTAGGAATTATTCTGAAGAGTCAACCCTGGCAGCCAGATGAGGCCATTCTTAGTGGATTACCTCATTCAGGACCCAATGTTGTGCTGAATGTCGTCTTTGGGTTGATCTGAAAGATCCTGTTTGAAGATCATCAGCTCTATGGTAGATTGGTAAGACGGTGACACTGGATTTGCTTGTGATGTGGTGCCTGAGCATTCTGTAGCCAGGAGAAGGGCATTGGCAGTGAGCAGGCCGGCGTTCCTGGGAGCTCTTGGAACATGCAACTTGGAACAGGCATGCAGTGATTTTTGGATACTGAGAGACACAAACACCATTTCCAAAGAGGGGCAAGCATTCTCCAACGTCGCAGGTCTATCAGGATGTGCTGGATCTCTTTGTCTACTCCCGGCTTCCATTCTTGATCATTGCCAGGGGCCGAGAGCCCTCTGCGGGCCATGAGAAGATCTGATATTCCTTGGTAAATATGTGGTTGTTGTTCGAAAACTCACATGGTCTCCAACAAATGAGGTTTAAAGTGAAAGATGACTACCCCAATGAACATGGCCCTTTCAGGTTCCATTTCGGATCTCAGCTGGTAACGGCCGCTGGTAGAGAAAATGCATCCCCCATGCGATCAAGGAATTGGATGGTTGCAACTTACCTGCGTAGCAATTGCTGGGGCAACCTACCTAACCGACCCCATTTTACTCGACCCAAATGCCCGCAATCGGGGTTTCCTGGTTTCCTGCTGAATGAATTAAAATGATCATCTGTTGGAGTTCCAATTTTGGGATATCCGTGCACGATGGTGTCTTTCGGTGTCTTTGTATATACACTGAGGATGATAGACATCTGGAACACTTGGTGAGGGATACAAGCACAGCCGGCGCACAGGTTGGTTTCTGCGCGGAGTTTGACTGCTGTGGATGCGAAGACCTCAGCAGAAGACCATCGAGTCTGCTCTTTCTGAGACTCAATTTGGATCAACTTAGATATGGATCGACAAAACATCCTGGCTGTGCAACCGGCTGTGTAAGCTGAGATCGGGCGGTTTTGGTGGCTGGGGCATTCTGCGGCTTTCTCACAGTCCGGAGCCTTGCTTTCCCACTGTCCCACTATAAAGAAGTGTTGTGGTGCTCAGGGCGGTGCTGGCTGCAATAAGCTGTGCTGGAAGATTGAAGTTTTTGCGTTTCTGGTGGCAGTGGTGGCAGTGGTGGCAGTGGTGGCAGTGGTGGCGGTGGTGGCAGTGGTGGCAGAAGCTTGTGTTGAGAATGCAAGGGTTGGAGCAGAGGAAACAAGACTACAGCGGCATTGCTTTTCTTGTGGTTCTGTTGGTGTGGGATCTTGGATGAGAGGAAGGGTCGTAGATGGTCTCCGTATTTGTGTTTCCAAAGGGGGAAGCCCGAGCCTTCCATACAATTTGATTGAAACTTGTGTGCATCGCTTTGACGTCCTTTGAAAGATTTCGACAGTCCTTTGAAGTCTCGGATTGCTTGTGGCATTTGTGGTTCATGGTGTGGCTTTTGGCTCGAGCCTCCATCGGTTTCCAATGCCGAGATTGAACATAAATGTCCGGGTTCCCGGTGTTCCCAGGTCAATGATTCACTCCAGAACTTCCGAGCCACGTTTGGGGACATCTTGGGACAGCAAGTTCGCCAGCGTAGCGTTGTTTTCCAACTTTAATAATGGCAATGCATGGCAATACTGTAGAATTAGTGCTCCAAGTACGAGCTGGTACTGCATCATGGGCAGTACCACCGTCCCTGCTGTTTCAGAGAAGTCTGATGAACATAGCAGGATAAACTATAGATTCTATAGATACTATACCTATTCTCCACAAGCTGATTTGGATATATTTGGATAGAGTACTGGGACAGCCTCATTCCATTCGCTGGATGAGGCTCTGCTAGCGTTTTGCTGCGCTTCCACGGAACTGTATGTGGAAGCAATACAAGGCACGGCACCCAAGTTCCGCCTGGCCTAAAAATGACTGGAACACATGCCAGTTTTGATATTCAAAACTTAAAACCATTTGTTTGTAACGATTATTTTCCCACTGAGAACATTTGAGCCGCTCTAAAAACCTCCCTTTACATTTTCAGTAAGGGCCTTGTCATAACGGGTTTGGCGTAAGCAAAACCCTAACTTGCGTAAGGCCGCGTAAGGACTTCGCGTAAGGGTTTCCTCAATTTGCTTCGCGTGAGGAAAACGTGCACAAGCATGGCGTAAGCTTTGCCGTACCCAAAATGATACGACATAGGGAGTACTGAAGGTTTTTCAGAATGGCTCATTTGTAATCACTTCCAGGGGATTGCTGGGATTCCCAGCTACAGGGGATTTCCATGGATTTCCCACCTAGCTATGTTTGATGACCGGAGGGCAGCACAGTTCTGTCCAATTCCGCTAACCTCCGCCAGGTTCTGCCCTGAAGTCTGATGGAGCTGCATCTTCTTCGAACGATTTTTTGCCAGATTGGCTCGTTCGGGACTGTTCGGGAACTGTGAAGGATCACAGCACTTGTACAGGAAGATCATTCTTTGTAAATGTTTTAATGTCGACATATATATATATACATATTAGTTATATTATGTAAATTATATATTTTGCAGGGAAGTGTATGAACGTGTCAAAGAAGTGTGATCAATTTTGTGGCAGAATCGTTGACCCTAAAGTGAGCTTCCACAGATATCCACGCAGAAAACTGGACAGCCCAAGGTATCTTTGATCCAACTCGCCATCAGTGATGGTGGCGCGGGAGCTAGTTGGCCAGCCCCGCGTGAAGAGGCGATCGGGGTCGGCCCTGGGTTGGCAACGCGACAACATTTTCCAGCCGATTCTATTGAAGCTCTTTAATGAAATCAATACTGGGATTGACATTTTTACACTACAGTAATCACAATCACAGGAAATGAATTGATAACTGTATCATATACATATATACATATATATGTGTATATATACATATATACACATATATGTGTATATATAGCCTCGTCCCTGCTCTTGGAACCGCGCACACCTGAATTAGGTTGGTAAAACTTGTCCATTCCGTGACGAAATTTAGTCGCGGATTTGACAAGTTTCATTCGGGTCATCATCATCATCATCATCATCACCATCACATCATCATCATCATCATCATCAGCATTAGTATGAACATGAACACGGTGTTTGTTTGAGGATCTTCCCAGAAACATGTGAGACCAGTTTTGTTTTTCTGTCTCTTCACAGCAGCTGCAAGTCTCGCACAGCTTTGAGGACCTCTCCCTGCGTCTTCCAGGGGTCATTGTCTTCCAGGGGTCATTGTCGCCAATCCCCCCCCCACCCCGCGTGTGCGTAGCATCAACTACTTCTGCAAGTTCACATGAACGTTAACATCCCCCCCCCCCCCCCCACCCCCGCGTGTGCGTAGCATCAACTACTTTCGCAAGTTCACATGAACGTTAACATCCCACCTCACCCCCCCCACCCCCGCGTGTGTGTAGCATCAACTACTTCCGCAAGTTCACATGAACGTTAACATCCCACCCCCACCCCCCCACCCCGCGTGTGCGTAGCATCAACTGCTTCTGCAAGTTTCACATGAACGTTAACATGAACGTAACCCCACCCCACCCCCCCCACCCCGCGTGTGCGTAGCATCAACTGCTTCTGCAAGTTCACATGAACGTTAATTCACATGAACGTCTCACGTTAATTCACATGAAACGTTAACATCCCACCCCACCCCCCCACCCCATCGTATGTGGTTCCAGGAGCAGGGACGAGCCTATATACATATATACATATATACATATATATACATATATATATACGTATATACATATATACATATATACATGTATATACATATATATATATACATATACACACACATATATATATACATATATACATATATACATATATACATATATACATATATACATATATACATATATACATATATACACATATATGTGTATATATACATATATGTGTATATATACTTATATACACATATACACATATACATATATACATGTATACATATATACATATATACATATAGACATTTAGACATATATACATGCATACATGTATATATGTATATATGTCTATATGTACATATGTATATATGTACATATGTATATATGTATATATGTATAAACACTCACAGCACTTTGTTTTCACATGCGTTGCAGACCAATTTAGTCAAATTGAAACAGTTCGAACAGGTAGAAAAATGGGTTGGTTGTCTAAGAAGGGTAACCCCACCTTCTTAAGGCCAGGCACAGACAATCAAGAAATGAAACTTCGATCCAAAAAAGGAGGCTTCTCCCCCCTCCCTTGTTTCCGATTTTTTTTTGCGCCGAGCGCTTCTTTCCACGTCCCCCCGTCCTGCTCTCTCTGAGTGCTTGCTCAAGCGAGGGCTTTGATTTCCATGAAGAAAAAACTTTGTGAAACGGTGAAAGGAGAGGTTTGGGAATTGAATTTCGGAAAGCATTGCCAAGCCGGAATTGATGTAGATTCGAGCGGTTTTGACGGCTGACCATCGGCCAGCTATGACCACCTTGTCAAGGGATCCTGTTTTGACAAATAGATCAGTGGCTCCGCCACGTCGGAGTGAGTAAGGACGAAATTCCCACTTAGTAAATTTCAGCTTTTGAATGCAGTCGGCAAACAGGGCACGCCAGGCATTAGGCTTTAAAGTAAGGAAAGTGTGGGGTGGAACCTTACGTTTCCAAGCCCACAGGTGGACCAAAACATGTTGTTCGGTGAGAGCAATACTCTCAGCCGCTCCCTGCCTTTTGCCTGATTTTGTCATGCCTAAATTTATGACTGCCGGTTGAAATCGGGAAACCATATGAATTTTCCACGCTTGAATAGCTAACAGCTAACAACTCTCCAAGGAGGCCGTAGAAGCTACCAACGGACTCAGTGCAAAAGTATAGTGTTCTGGGTAACAGCCCAACCTACCATTGCCCGTAACACCGGTTCACTAAGAGGGGGAGCGCGCGTTCGCACTTCATGAGTGGTCCAGGTCTTCATCAATCTCCAAGAGCGAGGGAGGTTGTGTTTTAATTTGGGCATGTAATCCTGAAGGGCAGCCATGAAGTTACTAGCCGTAGCACGTCCTTCACCTTGTGCCCAAATTACTCTCAGTAGTCTGAGACCAAAGCATCCATGTGATCCCTTTGTCGCGGCAATTCAAGCCCTTCATGTCTTAGGAAGTCAAAGAAGTTTAGTAACCCCGCAGAGTACCTTGCTTTAGTAGTTGCTTGCATTGTGAGGCCTTTGAGGGTTCCCATTTGTTTTCGGACCTTGCGCCTTCCTTCTTTGCTGCAGACTCCTTGAGTCGTGGTTACTTTTTTAACCATCCCTTTTTAATACCCCAGCGAGACGGTTTGTCTGCTGGGTTGTCCTTTGTATCCACATAGGCCCAAACGGGCTGGAGCCCGCTTGCAAGTAGGTAGGCGCTGATCCTCATCATTGTCCGTCTCATTTTCCTGGAGGACGATCTCCCCCTAGTAAGTGCATGTAGAACTACTAAATTGTCGACCAAGTGCACACACCTGATGTTGGTTTGTTTATGCTGCGAAACCCTCCGCTTCACAGTTGTAAGAACTGCCCTGGCCTCTAAAACGTTGATGTGTTCTGGATCCCCTCCCCGTTGCCAGCCAGCCACTGTCTCCCAACGCCACAACTTTGAAGGAACACCTGCCCGAAGTCGCTGATACTTTACTGGTACTTCACTTGCGCTTGGAGCATTAAGTCATCCCCTTTCAAAGAAACAAGGCCTGACAGTTTGGCAACCAGCTTGGAAGAAGGGGAAAGAGTCTTGGTACCCTGTGACATGGGAGGACGCAAGAGCAGCCCTTGGAGTTCAGGTTGTTGTCCCGGCGTAAGATGAGTAACTAGTTCTTGTAGGGAGGTGGAAGAAATAATCCCCAGAGGTTGTAGTAGTTGACCCAGTAACCACGCGACCGCCCCAACCGACCAACTGTTCCCAATAAGGCTTAATCTACAATCTTCATGTTGTGTGCTCCCATGCTCGCTCTTCGTCATGCATTGCCTGGTATAGTTGGGAGGGAATCCTAGGATTACCTCCCATTCCTTGACACTAGGAGTCCTGAGACTCCCCTGAGAATCCACCAAGTAATGACAGGATTTGTACTGGTAGGGGGAAATCTGTGTCTATCCGCTTTCCTCCTGGCTAGTTCTTCAACTGAGCAATCGTGCAGTCCAGCAGGGCACCGCAAAGGTCTAGGACTTGGCCCTGACATGTGAAAGTTGGGAGAGGTTTACGCACCCCGGCTCAAAATAGTTTTTCTTCAACTCTTGCCGTCAAATCAACCTGCCCGCAGATTGGTAGCTGCCCATTGCACCCGTAGTAGATTTCGACACCGTCAGCTTCCTGAAGTTCCCAACTCACCCAAAAAAAGCCTAGGTCTATGCGCTAAACTAATGCCGCAAGCATCCACAAACCACGGTTGGGAGGCAAATTCGGCACTCATTGCCTCGCAGTCTCCCTTGTCCATAGACGCCACGTTCTCCGTCAAGCTGTGCGCCTGAGCCCAGGGAGTTTTTTTTTGCAGAGCTCAACGGTCCTAGGGACATGCTTGAAAAGCTTGCTTCGCAGGTGCTTCAAGCCACCCTTCCCGTCGTAGTTTAAACCTGACACTCCCTGGCGAGGTGGGCCTGATCCTACCAAGACTAGGCCCATTGTAGAATACTTTAGTGCTCAGCCCCGTACCACTTCATCATCTATGATCTCCACGCCATCCCAACCATCGCTCTCCGGGAAGTTTGCCTCCACTACCCTGTGAGCTTCCGCTTGAGAGCGTCTAAGGCCACTCGAAGTGCCCCAATTCCGTCGAATAGGCCTATACTTAAAATTGATGTGAGGTCACCTTCTTCAGGGATTTCCCCTCGAACACTGCTGAGGCTTGCTGCAAGGCCATATGGAGTGACCCCCCTGCTTTTGCAGATTCCACCACCTAAAGTAGAGGCATCACTAGCCGTCACCATTTCGTCATGCTGGCAACGGAGGTTGATGCAGCTCAAGGGACAGAGACCTATGAACTTGATCAACTGGATGAGGACTTCTCCTCTCCGTAGGGGGACCTTAGCATGGGGAGAATACCGTTCGCCCTCAACAATTGTCCTCCAGATCTGGTTCAAAGAAGATAGCGATGGTCTTCTGAACATGGCTATGTAGACGAAACCACCGCCAACCACCTGAAGTTCCCTTTGGGACGCTCTTCCCCTGCCAATGATTTCCAACACCAGCTTGATGTACTTGGCCACCTTGGTCGGCTTTGCTGTCACCGTTCCAGCTTCTCCCTCTACCCAAGCACCCTTGAAGTTGGTTGAAGTTGTCAAGGTAAACCCTGGAAAGGTTTGAACAGTTACTGAAAACGCGGTCTCGCCTGATCTCTTGTACCGACTTACCAAGCCCCCTAATAGATGCCATGGCCTTAAGGATTCCAGCCCTGTGGATGTGTTGAGCCACCCCCACGCTGTTGAAGTACCCCATTGGTAAAACGGTACCGCAGAGGTACCACTTCTTACCCTCACCCCCTTGAGGGACCATGCTCCTCGGTATTTCTCGCCCAAAGCCCAGAAATCTGCACCAGGCCTCTGGAACCCGAAATAAGTAGAAGAAGCAGCGCAACGGACGAGGTAACCAAAACATCACCGTCATGGAGGTGTTTTTCAGCTAAAATATGTGACCCCTTCACCACACTCTCCAGTCTTTTCATTTATTGGGCGGCAGGTGATACTACGTCACCACGGCCTGCTTCGCCACAGCTGTGCAGGCTGTTTAGGCACCCTACCAGCGCCTGGAGAAATGGGTGATCATTGAAGCCTGGCAAACCATGTCCTGGAACTGGAAGTGGAAAAATGTCATACTTCCTAGTCGTGGACCCTGGCCTGCAAGCTTGTGAAATAGGTTCAAGAATATGCAGGACATCTGTCACCAGGCAACCCAAATCACCGACGGTGCACTCGTCGCCAAGGCTAGCTACATGCGCCCTAATCCGGTTCTGCACCCTCTCACTTTCAAATTGGGAGTCTTCCTCTTGAAACTTACTACCCTTGTCTTTCTTTGCATCGGATTCTTCTTCTTTATGGGAGTCCTGCTGCACACTCCCTTCAGCTTTCTGTGCGACGAATTCTCCTTTCATATGGGAGCCCTCCTGGCGCCACCCAGGCTGGCTCCCCTCTTCCAACGTGGTAGCCCTCTGAACTTCGTCAATGAGCTTTTCCACATCTTCCAAGGTGAAACTTTCCTCCATCTCTCTTTGACTGCGCGGTGTCTCCTCTCACCCATCCTTTTTTGTTTCTTTGCCATTGGATCCTCACTCCTCAGAAGGACTGACGCACTGGACTTTTCTTTCAGCTTGGGAAGATGTCTGTTGATGTCTCCTCTCTCACTTTTCGTTCTTCTTTTCCCATGATCCTTTGTTGCTTTCTTTTCCTCCTTGTCCGCCTTTACCTTTGCCTCCATCTCCAGACGCGCCCTTGTTGACACCTTTCCCTTCCTTTCCCTTTCGGGCCTTCCCTCCCTGGGAGGTCTCTCCTCCCTTGCCACTTTGAGGCCACATCATCAAAGACCTGAGCTCTTCCTCTCGCGCTCTTCTGGCGGCCCCCAGCTTTTCCGTCTCCTCAGTCATGCCACCTTCCTCGACCTTCACCAGCTCATACTGCCTGCACAAAGTCCAGTGCACCCCCTTTCCAAGGGCCTCCAGGCTTCCCAGCCGCCGGTTAAGAAGGTCCATGCAGGATGCCACACATCCTTGCGCCAGAAGGTCGGGCCCTTGGCAGACGGTGAGGCTCTCCTGCTGCACCGGCATGCCCGGCATCACCACCTGCCTCCCGTGCTGTGTTTACAGGGGCGGCAGGCTCGCCTTGTTGACATCCCACGCCGTACCCGCCGAAGTCATGTTGCGCTTGATCTTGATGTCCTGGATTGACCTAACTGCCACTGCTCCCGGACAACGGCGCCAGATAGCCCGTAGTTTCTTCTCTTCTTCGAAAAGGCCCTCATCTCATTGCCGTAGTCCGTCAGGCTGCTTTGGGAGGAATAGCTCGATGATGAGGCTTTCGGCGGGGAGCTCCCTTTTTCCTTTCTCTTCCTCTTCTTCTTGCCTGTCTTTCGAATGCGTCTTGCCCTTTTTAGCACCCGGGCTCTCCTTGCGGGCTCTGGATCCGTGCCGGTGTACTTGAAGATGTCCTCCAAGGGCTTCTGTCCAACGTCCAACTCATCACTCTCTCTTTTGGGAGACTGTCTAAGTCTCCCCTCATCCTCTTCCTGTTTCTTCTTGCGCTTTTTCTCTTTCTTTTTTGCCTTCTTCTGAACTTCCCTGGAATCCTTTTCCATTCTCTCTTGTTCTTTTCTGAGCTCCGCCAACTTGTCCGGCACCTCCTCATCTTCTCTCGGCCCTTGAAGGTTCGTCAGCCAGGGAACTCTTCCCAACTCAGTCTCCTCGAAGCCTGAAGCGTGCACTAGTACTTCATCAGATAACTGCCCAGGGCACCCTTCTTCGCAAAGGTGTACCTGAATGAATGGTTTTGTCCTTCCGGCCACTCAGTACCTTAAGCAGCTCCTCATTCTTCGTGCGACTCACTTTGAGCTTTGTGAAGAGGCCTACAGGCCCTTGAAGTGACCTGCAACAGGGGCTGCTTGACCGTGGTACCGGGCGTCCTGAGCCCCGGCCAGAGAGCTTCCGCAGATCCACCTCCGAAAGCTTCTGAAACTTCTTGGACTCCTCCTCCGCTTTCTCGCTTTTCTTTTCTTTTGCGGGCTTCTTCGAAAGCCTCGTCACCGCGGCTGGGCGTCTCACTGCTCCTCTCGCCACTTTGGGAGGCATTGTCTCCCTTCTTATCTGCAATGCCTTCTGCCCCTTTTGACTTGCCCTTTATTTTCTGACTGACTCCACCGGGGATGATCACCTCGAGGTAACACCCCTTGCCAGCCCCTCTGCGGTCTGTCGGGAGGTGGATATTTTGGTTCACGAGGGCCCCAAGACTCGTGATGTCGCCTGAAATCAGGTGGGTGATCAGTCTCTGGTGGCTTCTCGTGCCGCCTCTTTTTCTCACGTCCTCCTTCTGATCGCCTTTCTTTGCTCGATGTGCTTCTCCTCCTCTTTCTGTCTCGATCCTTACTCTTCCTTCTTTTGTGGGCTCCTTCTTACGACTGGGAGATGTCTCTTCTCTCCTTTGCGATCCTCAGATCTTCTACTTCTCCTGATTCCACTGCTCCTTGCTCTGGTCAATGGAGAACGGTCGGCTGTTGTCTTTGGCTCTTCCTCGGCTTTCTTAGGATGGCTTTCTGCTTCTTGCTTGACACCTGCAGGCTCTGTCACTGGAGCTCCTGCCAATTGAATTGAGGAGGAGGAGGAGCTGGAGGAGGCACCTTTGCCTGGGCGTATAGAGGATGTCCCGGATCTGTTTCGGACCCTTTTGCTTGGGAGGCCCTATCTGCCTCCCTTGGAGCGACTGGGGCAGGTGGCGCTGCCGCAGTCTCCGCTTTTGTCCTCCTTGCGATCTCGTCCCTCAGCTCCCCCTCCAAGTGCCTCAGGTTGTCGCTCACGAAGTCCACGTAAGCTTCGTACGCAGGCTTTCCAATCTCTGAGGCCACAAGATTGAAAATTCGGGGAAAAGTGTTACAGATGAGACGACCGCAATCCACACAATGGCCCCACATGCAACACCACCCTTTAAGCCAGAGCCGCATAGTGAATATCAGTGTTTTCGTGTCTACACATATATACACATATACATATATACACATACACATATATACATATATACATATATATATATACATACATATATATATATACACATACATTTACACACATATACATATATACACATACACATATATACATATATACATATATACATATATACATATATAAAAAATATATGCATATTTACATATATGCATATATGCATATATGCATATATACATATATACATATGTACATATAAACATATATACATATATACATATATACATATATACATATATACATATATACATATATACATATATACATATATACATATATACATATATACATATACGTATGTATTTATGTGTATATGTGTATATATGTATGTATATATGTGTATATGTATATATGTATGTATATATGTATATATGTATATATGTATATATGTATATATGTATATGTGTATATATGTATATATGTGTGTATGTATATATATATATGTATATATGTATATATGTATATATGTATATATGTATATGTGTATATATGTGTAGATGTGTAGATGTATATATATACACATGTGTATATATATTATATAAGATTCATATGATCGATGCTTGTTTGTTTCAGCAAAGTAGCCAGCACTCTGCCGAAAGCGTTTCTTCAAACCCTGAAGGATACCCTTCCTCATGGCGACGCTGATGCTGAAAGGTGGGGCAGGGGATCAAGTTGGGGTCCAGAATATCCAGAATGGTTTGACTGGGGGTTTGGAGCCCACCTACTGAACATATGCTATACTATAACTTACTATAATTCCCTCGAAAACTTAGTTTTTCAGTTCCAGCTCTTCACTTCTGGTTGTATCTTATTCGTTTCCTTTCTACTCGTGACCATTTTCCTGCGTTCTTTTGGCTGTAACACAATTGATGTCATGGAGCCGATGTGTACTGTATCTCTTTTGCTCAACCCCCAGAATTCCGAACCCTGTCGCGACTGCCGCCCTGACGACTCCAGATACTTCAGTTGGTGCGATGGAATGGAATTGTTTTGGCCAGTGCTCCTTTCCTTGTGCCTCGACAGCAAGTCTATTGCGATTCCTTGCCTGCAGACTTCGACTCTGACAACCTTCATATACTCTTCGACCATACCAAGGCTCCAACCTACCAACCTTTTGAAACTCCGTTGCCAAGCGCTAGCGCTGTAACCGGTAATTACTCAACATACGGAAGATTTGCCGAACGGCACCAACATCGACTGTCAGGTCTCTTGGATGGACCTTCGTATACTTTGTCATGAGCTTTATGGCCAGAGGTGCAAAAAGGGCCACGGGGTGACGGTTGGGAGAGACTTGACTGTAGCTATCCCTTAGAACAAATATGTATCCGTACTGACGCACACTACATATATATATATCTAAAATTATATATGTATGTATGTATGTATGTATGTATGTATGTATGCATGCATGCATGTATGTATGTATGTATGTATGTATGTATGTTATGTATGTATGTATGTATGTATGTATGTATGTATGTATGTATGTATGTATGTATGTATGTATGTATGTATGTATGTATGTATGTATGTAATGTATGTAATGTAATGTAATGTATGTAATGTATGTATGTATGTATGTATGTATGTATGTAATGTATGTATGTATGTGTATGTAATGTATGTATGTATGTATGTAATGTATGTATGTATGTGTATGTATGTGTATGTATGTATGTATGTATGTATGTAGTATGTATGTAATGTAATGTATGTATGTATGTATGTATGTAATTAATGTATGTAATTAATGTATGTAATTAATGTATGTAATTAATGTATGTAATTAATGTATGTAATTAATGTATGTAATTAATGTATGTAATTAATGTATGTAATTAATGTATGTAATTAATGTATGTAATTAATGTATGTAATTAATGTATGTAATTAATGTATGTAATTAATGTATGTAATTAATGTATGTAATTAATGTATGTAATTAATGTATGTAATTAATGTATGTAATTAATGTATGTAATTAATGTATGTAATTAATGTATGTAATTAATGTATGTATGTATTAATGTATGTATGTATGTATGTATGTATGTATGTATGTGTTTAATGTAATGCAATGTATTGTAATGTAATGTAATGTTATGTTATGTTATGTATGTATGTATGTACCGTTCAGGATGACGTAGTCTTAGCCTGACAGGCTTCTGAGATTAGGTTTTCCAGACTGACAATGATCACGCTTGCCAAGAAAAATCCAAGAAAAACACCACAGCGCAGCTCTTGTCACTCTGCGATCAGATCTTCCGGGAGTTTTTGCCAGGCGAGGAGCAAAAGGCAATACTTGCCATGAGCCTTGGTACAAAGAAGTGACAAAGGCACCAGGTTCTTCCGTGCTCCAGCACCATGCAGCGGCCAAAACTGCAAATGATGAGCCCTTAGACGATTAAAAATGGGTCCTACTTTGAGAGGACTGTACATATCCCTACGCAAGAGTGACATCCGCGCAAACCCACGAGTATAGGGTGTGCCTCCGGCAATAGCAAGTGACAAGCTTCCGTGTATATTCCACAGCATGTCCCGACCATATCCCGACCCTGTTCAAACATGCGGGTTGTTCATAGCTCAGAAGTTATAGCCTCACAGGTGTGGAGAAACAAGTTTCCGGCTCACCATCATTTTACCTAAGGAGCGTTCTCGCAGTCTTTGTTGTGCCTGGACCGCAGGGGATTCGGTATCCTCCAGTAGTCTAAGATGGTAATGGCAAATCCTCGCGTTGATTATTACATAGATGATTTTCCGTGATTTTTCCATCTTTTCCCATTGCGATTGGGGGCTCCCCATTGCTATGCTCGAATAGCGGAAGGTTTTTCAGCAGTCTTTGATTCCAAGTCTTTTCGTGATGTTAGTGAGGACAACTTTCATGAAATCATGTTTTATTCTTTATTCCCTAGACAACACACCTGGAAGACCTAGAGATGTATCCTTTGACCTTGCCAGTGTGGTAATCTTGTTGGTCGCCGTGGCAGAGCCACTGAAAGTCAAATCTTACTAAGGAGAATCTCTTATATTCCAGTGTGTGGCACGGTATGCAACCAGGGGCTGGGGATGACTTTGTGGGTGTGGTGTGGATGTGAGACGGGCTGATGCATGATGCATGGTTTGGATGATCAGTGCAGAATCACGGATGACTTGGTACAGACCCCAGAACTGTATTTCAAGAGTAGGAGAGATACAGGGATGACTGACAACAAAGACTTATATAGAGATTTCCCAAATAACCATTACACTCAGTGGGGGTGATAGTTTTTTATTGGAGACGACTTACGAATGACACCTAGGATAGTTTGTCAGTTCGATCTTTGGATTGTAGAAGGCAAGCATACTCCTCGGCAAGCACGGCCGAGAACAAATTTCCCAGACGCACCGAAGCGAGGTTTGTGGATAGTCTGGATTTTGCCTACAACCTCATGCAGATCCTTTGACAAATATTGTCGATGTCTGTCGACATTTTGCAAGCGGTTTCCTTTTGATTTTCTTTCTGTCTTGGCGAAGGTGAAATGTTTTCTCAAATGGGCAAACGGCAAAGTCTCTAAAATCCAGGTGCTTCTGTCAAGATAAGAAATTGCATTCATACTAAATTTTGGATGATGTTGGCAATATTTTGGATCTCAGGAATGAAGCTCAATCTGGCTGGATCGTGGGCATTCACAAAATGGGCTACTGGACTGCAGAGGGACGTAGAAAAACACACGAACACACACACATACACACACATATATATATATGCAATTTATATGCAATTGATATACTCCATTGACATACCATTATATACATATATATGCATATATATATACATGCATCATATTGTAATTGTAAGTGGAAGGTTTCTGTCTTCTCAACAGGAATTTGTTGCTCGGCAACATTCGAAAAGATGGGCACCAACCTGTTGCTTAGTCGCTTAGTCCTCAGTTCTGTAGTTTTGGGTAAACAAGTAGTGGAATCTCGAATGCTCACATACATAGTAGATAAACATAAAAATATAGATATAGGTATAAATATACAAACATACTTATAACTTATAACTATAAATATGAATATTACTATGACTATGAATATGAATCTAAATCTGAATATAAATATCAATATGAATATGGTTATGACTATGAATATAAATCTAAATCTAAATATAGATATAGATATCACTTTCAATATGAATATGACTATGGCTATGAATATCAATCCGAATCAACATCAACATCATCCGAATCAACATCAAAATCTAAACATACATATAGATATACACCTGAATTTAAATATACATATACATTTGACTATGACTATGAATATAGATATGAATATGAATATAATTTTTTAAAAAAATATAAATGTGTGTATATATATATATAATCCTTTTATGGAAACTATGAATATTTCATAACGTGTAAAAAATTGTACACAAGTTTCCTCTCACCCTGAAGTTCTCAGATGCTCGGGCAACATTTCAACATCTCTGAGGCACCAGCGTTGGCACGTTTCTGGCGGGGATCCCAGAAACCTCCAGGGAACAGCCTCGACTAAGCATTGACCAATTGGGTCTGCAGATGTTCAGATGTTTTCTGAAAACGATTCTGCAAAAGCCCCCCCCTTTTTTGCCCCTGGCGTTTTGGGTACACTGCACTCTATGTTGAGTTTACTTGGCACACTTCACTTGGGGAATCGTCATTGAGCAGTTTCAAGCAGTTTCCCTTCGAGGTACTTTGTGTTTTACTGTGCCGTTTCACTCACTCCAATCCCAGGTGTTCTGCATGTTCACTATGTATCCAGAGATTTGGCGCTACAGAGGTTTCTAGGCCGTGGCAGATGGGCCGGTCCCTACTGAGTCACAACTGGCTAATCAGCAATACCTGTGGTCCAGGTGAAGTCTGGCAGTTTTGGAAACAGGAGCCCCATCCGATTCCATCCCAGACCTTCTGTGGGGATCCGTCGTTGGGTTTGGAGCTGCCCAGTTCTCCCAGCAGTTTGCGACTCAGGTTTCACTGTGATGCTAGTGGGATTCTGCATGTAGCCTGGCCACGCAACATGTTGATGGAGCCTGGCCACGAGAATGGTCAAATCGAGTCAAATCTCTGGCCTGAATATACAATAATATATTGGTCTACAACCCAATCTAATCTTCCGACCAATCAATAGATTTGCTATTCCCTCAGCCTTTCTTTTGTTATAGCTGAATGGAAGCCAACCTTGGGTCCGTTTCAGGGGTAGCCCAGAAAAAATACATGGGACCCCACATGAATCACAGCCAATTGCTTCGCCAATTGTGAATCAAGCACCCATCCGATAGTCGGATTCAAAAGTGATGTTTGGATGCTGCAGTATTCACACAATCTGTGTGCAGTTTCCGTCTAGGTCTTGTCAACTCTGAACGTCAACTCGGCATGTCGGGAGGGTTTTACACAAGCCATAGATGAATGCAGATGAAAATAAAACAACCCATGATATTCCACCATTTGGAATATCAACTTGGGATAACTTGGGTTTGTCTAAAGATAGGGTACCCCATGGTACCCCCAAATTTGATGGTTTAGCATCCAAAATTTTCCGCATAAACAATGCACTTTTTGGGGTACCCCATTAAAAAAGACTTTCGGCATTCCGAAAACTGCTGAGGCAATGTGCTGGTGGCATGGCTTTTGGCCTGTCTGGTCTGGCCAATGTGTACTTGGGAACAACTGGAAAGCCTTTTGACAGGCGGCCGGGCTGAAAAAAATGGAGAAACAATGGAAACGACATGGAAGTCAACATGAAGTCAATCCATTGAATGTTTGCACTTTGGTGACGCGGAACCCAAAGTTTTGGCCAAACCCGCTGAAGCACAAGACCACAAGGAATACTTGAATTGAGTAGTAGAAGTCGGTTGGTTCCAATTGAACATAGGGTGCGCACCATACCACCACAGCATCAAGTGACTCCCTTACTGAGAATTCTATTTGGCTTTCTAAGGTTGGTGCTGGTGGCGCGTTTTCTGCAAGGGACTGGTGGTGGTTTGCAGGTTCGAACTTGGAATCTGGAATGGGTGTGGATAAATTGGATATGATTGGATAGTGAGGGAGGTGAGGAGTCCATTGATGGTTTCAGAGGATGAGAGTCCAAAGGGCTGAAGTGCGAAAGTTCATCCCACCAGGTGGCCTTCGGCTTGATGCAAACTGCAATGCTGCTCACGGGCTTGGAGCGATCCATTCAGAATACACGTGGCTCTGGCACAACTTTGTGATGTTAAAAGGAGAAGATTCAAATCTTTGAAGTGATGGGAAGTTACAAATTGCATAACATGGCTGACAGATGACTTAAGTTCGATGATATTGTATCATATTGTATCTTTATTTGGTCAAATTCAAGGTATCATCGAGTGTTGAGTCTGCCTGCCGAATAACCACCTCTTGCGGACCTGACTCAAGTACTGTGAAACTCCGCTTGTTCTGCACAACTTCCTGCTTACAAAGCAATACTTCATGTCTCGGACCATATGAGCAAATCCGAGCAATGCTTAGTAGTGAGTCTTTTGTGCCCGTGCTACAGCAACTCTTCCCAAGATATGCATAAATGAGCGAACGGCAGAGTCCGTCTCAAAGAAAGAACCAATTTTCAGATTGAAGTGGCAGACGGCCATCTTGTTTGATCTTGTGCAGCTGGATGATGCAGCTGGCAGGTTTCTACTTGGGCGCGTGTTTGGGAATGGGAACTGGTCCCCTCCTCTCCAGCTTGAGCACTTCAACTGCCCGACTGGCACACTGCCACACTCCACCAGGTGGGGAGACGGAACAGAGAGGAATAGAGGAATAGAACATGGTTTGTCTTCTTGGGACAGCCCTTTCTGGCCTTTTCAGTAGGTAAAATGATGATAAGCATTGATGAACTACAGGAATTTGGCCCATTCTTGGGAGACAACCCCACATGAATTTCCTTCTTGGAAGGAGGTATTTGACTGGGATTCCAACCTTCTGCTGAACACTCAAGGACTCAAGTTTTTTTCATGCCTTGGTTTGTCCGAACGCAGGGGAGCATGTGGCAATTGTAGATTTTGGCAATTTATTTGGTCACACCGCTAGATTGCTAGATATGATATTGAATATGAATATGGCACAGAATTGGGTCCACCGAAATGGGATAGTCCACCACTACTGAAAACACTATCAACATTTGCCGTCCTCTGAGTTGCACTTTACCCGTACCATCCCGTACCCGTATTCAAGGTGGATCCGTAGATGAGGTGTGCACAGCAGCTGTTCCTATCCAGCAGGGCCACCTTTTGCCTTTTGCCTGTAACATCCTGTAACTTAGTAACTCTTAAAAAGGTGGAAAGCTAGGGACGGGGATTTCCGAGGCTTCTGTTGGGCATCTGTTTCGCTAGGCTATGAAGCCACCTTCGCAGTCTGTACGCTACTGCCTCTCATACAATTGCCCATGCTGAGGCCGGTTTCTCTTGTCCGGCATGTCGGATCATTGGGAAAAGTTGGGGTAAGGAATGCAAACAAAAAATAGCATGATGTGACACGACACCAAGGGACTTTTATTGATGTATTCAGAGACCAAAGGCACATGGATTTGATGGTCAGATAAGTCAGACAGACAGTCATGTTTCTGGTTGAGACAGCCCCCCACATGCTCTCCAAGCAGTGGACATTGGGCATCCAGTATGGCAGGCTAGCTCCAAAGCGAGTAGAACCAGGCCGGCAAAGGGACAGCAACAGCAGACTGTGGGTTGTATGAGTGGTTCATGTCTAAACTCTAAACCATGGCGTGTTTCAACGAGGAAGAATCTCATCAAACTCATCAACTCCAGTGCATTCGCGTCTCTCAGAGCTTCTTGCAGACATGCTGTGACATGCTTGTCATTTTGGGAGAGTCCATGGTAGAGCTCTCCCATACATCGATGTTAAACGATGCTATTTTCAGGGTTTGCTATGTTTGCTGTCATCCTCTGCTAGCTCCACCGTAGGGTTGCATACCTCAGAGTTTGATTCCCAGAATTAATGGATGGTAAAGACAAGGCTGCCTCTCCGTCATTCCTTAACACGTCGTTATGCGTGTCACCAATGATCCAAGAGATCCTGGAAGCAGGTGAAGAAAGCCCCAAAAGTGCTCCAGTTCCATACAACTTCCAGCGAATAGTGGCTACTCGTCTTTTACATGAGCCGCTCCGAGCCTGCCAATGTGTAAACTTCTGTATCCTAGAGGTCCATCCTGCTCTCTTTGGTTCTTAGGGGAACCTGCATGCCAACTTGGGCGTTGTGCTCTGTTGCAGAAGAGATTTCGGTGTATGGTCCGAACTCGTGGTTAAATCATGCAAGGCATAATCACAACCGTATGATTAGTCTTCGTGCACATAGCCACCATGAGGAATCTCCAGTAAAGGGGTCGAGATGAAAGGGGCAGTCTCAGATGTCATGCCTGCCGCTTGTCGCCAATTTCCAACCCTAAACGTGTCTGAAGGCAGTCTCCACCAGCAGTAGAATTGGGTGTGGAGTCGAACGTTGACAATGGAATTGCCAAGATAGGAGTGTGAGGTGTCAGTGACACACGCACACACACACAAACACAAACACAAAGACACAACCATACCTACATCCGGGCTGAAGAAAGGGTTGAGAGCAATACTTTCGGCTTTTGTACTTTTTTTTAAATGGATTTCGCACTAGCTCGGTCTTGCTAAGGTCATAGTTCTGTGCGTTATTTTGCAAGCAGTTCGTAGTTTCTGCAGCGCTGCTGTGGAGGACGCCCGCAGGGAGCACAGGATGGGTCATGGGTCGAAAATACTGACTGTGGGGCACTGGATTGGTTGAAGATGTTGAAGGGGAAATGGACAAAGCATGAAATTTACCATCAAATCTGGGGGTTTCAATCCAATGTCCGGATATGTGCGGATGTTTTCAGAGTTTCTCGAAGTTCCGCTTTCGAAGGTGGACCCACCGAGGATGTTCTGTTAGGGAGAACACCACGTGGAACTCATAGCAGGCCGCATTGTCCCAGCTGCTCTACACCGAATACCAATGGTCTCGCCGACAAACTGGCACCTTGGATCACCTGGCACATCAGATACCAATTGGGATATACAGAGGATGCTCTCACCCATCACTAGCAAGGTGAGTAAGCCAAAACCTAGAGCCCAAACTGTAATTTTTGAGTCTTTTCTAGATTTTCTGGACATTTGAGAGGTTCGGAATGATTGAGGTATGTAAGCAGTACCTCTCGCTGTTGAGGTATTGTGACAGCGGCATTGATGTTCACTATGCTGCCAGCGCAAGTCTTCTATGCATCTTGGCAAATGTTTGCTGCTTTGTGGGTTATGGGTCATGGTAGGTTTGGAGCAGCCGATGGACATCCCTGCTCTGGGAGACTTCGCACGTCTACTGAAAGACGAACTCACCCTTAGAACTCCAAGGCCATTGCAGAATACTTTGCCTGTGCAGTGACTTTTTCCCGTATCAGGCGTGCGACTTAGCTCTCAGTGGAACCTACTGTACATTTGTCCGTCTCAGGAGCAGCTTGGTCGATACTTCTCTGTGAATCGAGCAACTTGGTCATGCAGGGCTTGCTGTAGAGCCTGGTGACGTATCAGGTGCCATTTGGAGGATGTCTTGCGGAAGAAATAGATACTATAGACGTCTATAGACTATAGTAGACATCTATAGTTGTAGTCATGGTAGCATGGTTCCTTTTAAGAGCATTATATACTTGGATTGTTCTACACGTATACCAGGGATGGGACAGATCAGCTTTGCAGATCTTGGTGTAACAGTGTAGCCTCATCACCACACCATCCCTCTATTTGCCGGGCGCTTGCGACATGCACACATATAACATCATATAACATCATATAACATCATATAAGATCATATAACTAGACTATATATATATATATATATGATCTATATGTATATGATATATGTATATGATTAGAACTTATAACATCTTATAACAATGTATGATACGAGTATGTCTAATGATTTACCTAGACAGTGCTTTCACATATTTATGCACATTTCAACTTGCCTCGCTTTCGTGCTGAGGCGATTCGCTTTCTTCTGCTCATTGCCTTGGTGGGAAGTTCTTTGAACCTCTTTGACTCTCTGGTTGGGTTGATCAGCGGAGCTTGTGTCGTCTGAGGACCCAGGTTGTGTCACCGGAGAGTCACTGGAGAGTCACCGCATCAACCGCATCACCACGTCAGGGGGGACCATGTTAGACTGTTAGACCTTGCGCTAAAACGCCCAGGTTCTGCCTAGCTTGGCCTTGAGCAGCGGCCTCATCATGGGTACCATGCAGGTGCACACCATTCACGAGAGCTACATCTTTGATTTGCTTCTGAGAAGCACTTGGGTGCCAATTCTGCAACTGAAAGATATTTTGTTTTGATCCGTTTTGCTCTTGTGTACCCTTCAGTCAAGATGACCACTTTTTTTTGTCCTCTAGCATCAGCTATAGGGTTTTTACTTCAGTATGTCGGGGATCGCCTCCTGTCTCCCAGTGTCTCTTTGGATGATCGCTTCGCTGCCGCCTTTGTTTCCCAGCCTTGTCTCGCCTTGTCCTGTCATGAACGCCGCCTGCCTCAGACTCGCCGTGCTTTCCCAGTCTGCGAACTTGACGGAAAAAAATATCATTGCTGGGGTCGGTCCAAGGAATGGTACCACTTTGCTCTCCCTGATCTTGAGCGACTTGTTCGGCCGGGGCGTTGGACCCATCGCCGCACGACAAAGCATCGCTTCAGGCGAGTTCATTTGAACATGTCGCTTTGCAGTACTTGATATCGGATACTATCGGATTTACCATCGACATTGTTCTGTAAAATGGATCTGAAACATACCGTGCCCATTAATCAGTAACCACTTAAATACTCTTAAATCCAATCTGCATGGATGTGCAATGATGTACAGAGCGACAATGTTTTCTCTGGATTAAAATGAAGTCCTGGAGGGTGTGGATGGGCTTCAGATTCTCAAAGATCCAGGTGGGCAGCATGGCTTTGGCGAGCAACAGCTCCTGGTGAGTGGATTGTGTATCGTCCTCTATGACCCTTGGTGACACAGGTTGGGCCAAGGTGAGCCCCGGTGAATTCTGTCCTCAAGATGTCCCTTGACATGTTCATTACCAAAGTGTGTTTGATTCCAATGCCTCCTGGACATTGGATGCAGAAATGAATGGGTTTAACACCTGAAGCTCATTTGTTGTGCTGTCCAGATGCACTCAGTAGCCATCGGCCCAACAAGCTGGTGACTTTCATCGGCCTTGGCCCTGAAGATCTTATGTAGCAGCAAGCTATTTTGGGCGGAGATTGAGTGGCACTATGTAGCACTCTCTGCTGAATTGTCTTTTGCAGGATCAACTCCCCTTCTTGCAATCCTCCAAAGGGGCCTCGTAGAGCTGCCCTCAAGCCCTGCTGCCCAACTGTGTTCAAAACATGGTTTTTCCAATCGTAGAAATGATTTGCTCCAGCATCAGAAAGTCAGAAAGCAACAGACATCAGAAAACTGGATTGCACATATTGCACCCTGAGAGATCGTTTTGTACAGTCACTGTACAAGCTCCAATCGAAGTGTCAGAGTTTGGGTCCCGAATTTGGAGCCATTGCATTGCCATTGCCGTCATGCTGAGGAGCTGGTCCATGTTTATGCAATCGCCACTTGTCCGCTAATTAGAAGGGGCCAGCAGCCGGCTCCTTCCTGGCACATCTCGGGCTGAAGAGGGTTCGCCTTGACGAGCATCCACATTCATGTTTTGAATCTACCCTGGAGCATATGAATCATCACTATTCTCCACGTTGTACTGCCAAGGAAAAGCAAGGGGAGAAGCAGCTTCGTCAATTGAGTCAATGAGCAGGAGGCTAGTCTTCAACCGAGGGTTGCCATTGCTTTGTTGATCACAAGATTGAAAAGAACTCAACTCGACCTACCTCCACATGATTCTGTTGAAAGCTTTGGAGTTGAGTCTCTCTAAAGTGATCCCAGTCATTCCACACGGCCAAGTTTTATGTGGCAAAGACAGAGCAAGTCGAGACTTTCCACAAGCTGAGACAAGACTTGTTGAGTTCTAAGTTACTTTCTTTGTGGCTTTGCCTGCTGATCTGGAGCACGTCACAGCAAGTCACTCCCAAGCAGTCCCATGATAACACCATGATAATTAGGGTCTCAAAACTGGATGGAGCAAACAGTAATGCACTCTCACATCCTACAGTACAGTTCGCATTTTATATCACCGCATGTTGCATGTCTACAAGGTGCTGGCCTTCTGAGCTATCAAAGCGGGCCACATGGTGCATGATGGAGCACAGTCTCCAGAAAAGAAATTGGTACTTGTGGCGGGTTTGCCCCGCTTTTTTAAGGTGTCTCACACCCGAATCTTCCAAGGAATTTTGGCGGAGCCCAACATTTCCAGGTCATTTGATGCCTTTGAGTTGGAACAAGAATGACTTTTGACACCAAGATCCAGTGCGCTTCAGTGTGAATTATGTCTCTGCCAAGCTCCGAGAACAGAGTATACAAGTACCTTATAGTACCTTCTGTGTCAAGAAGGAATCTGATCCCCTCTGATGGCGAAACAAACTGTCGAGGCGGGGGAGGAAACGGATAGGATTCCGATGGATTCCGCATCCGGCGTCCGGCACTGGTCTGTGGTCACTCACAATTTGGGTTTCTCTCGTCATGACATTAGCCGCGGCCACTCCCTGGAGAATGGTTCAAGCATGACAGACTCACTGACTATGGACTGACTATGGACTGACTATGGTGGGGTTAACAGTTGATAACGTATAATCGTATAATATCGTGTGTGCTGATTGTGTTGTATACAACTAGTGCATTGGTGTATGATTTCAATAATACACTGGGGCGTAGCTAAAGCACGGTTCCCTAGCTTGAGTTCCCACTATGACACTGCTTGTAGCTTCTGGGCCTGGAATTGCGGCAATTCCAATTGGCATTCCAAAAGGATTTACTCATATCTACTCCCAATCTACTCCCAAATGCAGTGGAAGATTGCAAATGCCATTAAATATCCATTAAATGCTTAAGGTCTTGATGACTCGCTTTGGCATTGGCATTTCTTCGCAACAGGCAGGTACTCTAGCTTGCGACTTCCACAGTCAATCGGGACGAATTTCAAATTATGACAGTTGTTATAAGCAATCCAAATAGAAAGGCCATGTTCGTTTGGGCAACAGATCAAAAGGCTCATTTGTCTACTGATTCAGAATCCTTTTGATCGAGTTTTGAGCAAGCATGAAACATGTATGGTTCAGATATTAACACGAAATCGATCGGTATAATATATGAAGTATGACTATCACAATTGCGACAAATTTCTACATATATATATATATATATAATTATATATATATATATCATATATCTACATATCAGAATATTGCGCGTCTGGTATATGTACATATTAGATTAATTTAGATTATATAATGTATTCGAATACATGAAAATTATGACACATGTATACGCATGTATACGCTAATGTAGCACATATGAGCAGGGATTCAGCCCAGCCAATTTCATAAAGCATCCCCAGTCGTCATCGCCATTTTTAGGCCGCCCAATTCACCGTCTCCGCAGCCTTCGCATCGCGCGTGGCGGTGCCCTCCATGGCCTTCACTTTGCAGCGTGGCAGGATAGCATGATAGCTGGATGGTTGGTTCGTTGGTGGTTCGTTGGATCAATGTTTGGAGTTCAAATCGAAACCGGACTGTGGGGTTTCCTGGAACGTTTCCCTTTTTCACTCCAATGAGTGCTCGGTTGGAGAATTGGATGGAAGTTGGGCACAACGTGGATGTCGCGATCCCCACAATGATTCTTGCAACTCCAAACCACCTGTACGTAGCTCGAGTTTGCATGATCTACTTGAGTCTTTGTTTGGGGGCCACGCGAATGACAACATTGATTTTATTTGTGGTTTGATATTATTTGTGTGTGCTTTCAGGGGCATTGACGCTGAACTGGAGACATCTACTGTGAATGATGTCTGCCATGGACTTTCAAACATGGGGTTCCCTTCAAGTTCTGAGGTGCCTGCCTTCACAATTTCAAGAAGCAATCCATACATTGAAAGCGGCCGGGAACCCTGCCAAATTTGAAGGATTTCCACACTACAGGGATCTGTGCCAGGCAAATGCTGGCATGAATTCTGCAAATTCATGCAAATAAAGTTTCATCTTGGTGGGGGCACTTGTTTTATGAGGAATTGACTTCTGGGATGATTAGTTTTTCCACTGATTCAAAGAAAGCATCAACTTTCAGAAATGATGTTAAACAAATTCCATGCGAATAGTTTTCATTCGCATTGGTTAGTACACCGATTGTCATTGAGAAATCACCATCAACGAATCAAAGAAGATGTTGAGGTGATGCTCTTCTCCAACTGCTGTGCAGCTGGTTTGGGCGAGCTCTTGCGGGCGCGGTGTTTGGCGGTTTGGGTACCATTGAGCACCCAGATCAGCTGTTTGAAACGTTTGAAATCCAAGAGATTTCCAACATCTTCATGTTTTATTATAGTACTTGTATTTAAAAACACTTTAAAGTCTTAAAGTTGTCATGTTTATGATCCGTTTTGTTTTTTTCCCCATTTTTTCAATGACCAAACCATATCATATTCCGACATTATCCATTTTCACTACCAAATAGATTGGCTTAGCTCAACCCCTGCAGTTTTTGGATCGACAGGACGCTGAGTGGGTTCCTTTGAACTTCCTCTTCGACCTTTCTGCTTTGGGGCAGGCACGCACTCTGAATAATCTGACTGGCACTCGTTGGCTTCGGCAATGGCTATACATGTTTCACAAGGCCAACACGACTGTGCACTGATCAGACTGTAAACGTGATGGGTTTCTGGCCGTTATTGGTGGTTCAAAAGACTCAATTTTCAACTCCAGAAAATCCGACAACGATGCCCAATAGGAGTCACGGAGTCAATATATACAGAGTGATCTCATGAGTCTTCTTGGGTCAAACCCGGGCAACCAATTTTTCAGCCACGAGTTACCTTTGATCTTGGGTTGAAGCAGAGTGCAAAGTGGTGCAATTAACCATATCCTGTGATTCTATGATCCATAAATCCATAGCTCATTGATGCTGAGTGTATTTTCAGACTTATGTTTTGCATAATAGGATAATATGTATATGTATGTACACTATCTATCTATCTATCTATCCATCCATCCATCCATCCATCCATCTATCTATCTATCTATCTATCTAATTCCTATCTATCTAATTCCTATCTATCTAATTCCTATCTATCTAATTCCTATCTATCTAATTCCTATCTATCTAATTCCTATCTATCTAATTCCTAACTATCTATTCCGAACTATCTATTCCTAACTATCTATTCCTAAATATTCCTAACTATCTTTTCCTAACTATCTATTCCTAACTATCTATTCCTAATCTATCTATCTATTCCTAACTATCTATTCCTAATCTATCTATCTAATCCTATTCCTAATCTATCTATCTAATCCTATTCCTAATTATCTATTCCTAACTATCTATTCCTAATCTATCTATCTAATCCTATTCCTAATCTATCTATCTAATCCTATTCTATCTATCTATCTAATCCTATCCTATCCTATCCTATTCTATTCTATCCTATCCTATCCTATCCTATCCTATCCTATCCTATCTATCTATCTATCTAATCCTATCCTATCCTATCCTATCCTATCCTATGCTATGCTATGCTATGCTATTCTATTCTATTCTATTCTATTCTATTCTATCTAACATATACGTAGAATTACAATGTTCCTCTTGAGCCGCCTGACTGATTCATTGGTCCCAGGTTCTTTCGCTGCTGTGTGCCGCCTTGCTGCCGGGGGCGAGGATCCTTCGCCAGCGCAAGTTCATGTTGAGAATCATTTAGGTAGCAAATGTCACTATTCTTATTGGGGAATTGGTGACCCCCGAATCAGAATCAATGGGATCACCATGGCCACAGGGCATCGCCAAGTGCTTCAACGCCCACTGCTGCAGTGCGGGACCCAGGGACGCAGGCGATCCGAAAGGTGAGCTCTTGGGTATTCTCCCAGATGCGTCATCCATCATCCAATCAGCCACCCAACTTGGAAAGACATCATGAGATGTTGCATAGCATTCTCCATTTCTTGCTGTTAAGACTGTGCGAAAAATAGCAATTGTGTGAATATGATGTAAGTACGCTCGTCACATGTGTATCAACATATTTGCTCCGTGCCGTACAAGATTATCTGTGAGAAATTTCAATCACTCCATCAACTGGTAGATATCAAATTGGATTCGGGCTGGCATCCAACAGGCAATTGATTGGGCGGATAGTTGGGAGACTTCAAAGTGGCAATGAAACCATGAAAGGTAAACTGTGAGCTTTCTTGAGCTACAATAGCTACAACTATTATTTGATATTATTTGATCATTTGCTAATTTGCCTAAGTTTACAGACTTATGTCAGGTGTTCACAGTTGAATCAGGGGTTTGGAACACCATGTACCACATGATGCCACGAAAGATGTTGGGTACACAGCAGCAACAGTTGCCCTCTGCCGCCGAAAATGCCAGGCAATCTCCAACACCTTAGTGGGAAGGCCCAGGTGATGAACCTTGTGGCGAATCTGGGGTTTCAACCAGCTGGTAACTGGGTTTACCTCGTTACATTCCAAGATTCCAAGATCATTCAAGACATAGACAGAGTGACTGACTCTGATATGGTGATGGCAACGCAGAACTCTTCGATTTTGAGGAAGAGCATCTGCTTCCGCGCAGTCCACGAAGATGTTTCTTGACAGCACGTCAAAGTCTCCAGTGGACTCAGTGATACCGGTACAACTTTCAGCACAGGAGACTGACACGAACTATTCATATGTCATATCTACTAATTATAATTTATTATATATTTATATGATGCTTAATGCTTATATAAGATTATACATTATTATACATGTTTATCAATTTCTATCAAATAGATTGGAACGATTTGCCAACTTTATTCTTGGGCGTTTTGGCATTTTCTGGCATTGGACGAGTCTCGAAGAGTGACTACTAGTTAACTGCGTTCACTTGAATTACCCTGTCCCAGGTTCACAAGGACCGTTGAACGGCGTTCAGGCAGGATGGCGCTGGAGGAAACGTGTTGTATCTGGAAAACTCTGGAGCTGCCTTCTGGTCTTGGAGCAAACATGCAGGCGCTGTTGCAAGACCTGTGGCTCTCTCTGTGGCTGCGTCGTGTTATGTGGTGGACCGTCTTGGGGCCCAGAACCCGTCGGAATTTAGCGCACCAAAATCAATCCATTTGAGTGTTGGACAGTGTTGGTGCTTGCGAGGCCCAGACATTTCAATACTCATTTTCAATACTGAGGCCTGGGCTTTGGCCATGAATCCCATCCACGGCTTGACCTTAACGTGCGCCCGAACCAGGGTTTGGCAGACACAAGAAGCAGATGGATGTACAGAGTTTTATTTGGTCGGTTGCCCTTTTGCACTTTTGCCTTGTTCAGAATCTCTAAGAAACCGTGCGCGTCACTATTTCATATTCTTTCATAATACTTGAGGCAAGATGTGATGGGCAATTTCATCGAGTGTGGCTGCAAATGCAGCACAGAAGACCTGAGACACGGGTTGTGCAGGTTTCATCCTGTCCTGGCACGTCTAGATCATGCTGCTGAGCCGTTCATTTAATATGTCAGGACGTTTGCATGGGTTAGTTGCAACAACACTATGTCACTTATACAGCATGTCCATGCAAAATCGAAGGGGACTACACTGTGACTACACCATGGCCTGTGAATTTGCTTGAATTTTTGTCCAAGTGACATACATGTGACATCTTGTGACCACATGACGTTTGCTGTTTTGTAGTTGGATCCAATGAACTGCAGCCTGGGAAGGTACTGGCAGAGCATGGTTCGCTCCAAACACATCCTGAAGGATCACAACGGTCTGGCACCAAGCTCAATTCGCACAGCACTTGATGGATTTCTGAACAGGAACCATAGGAACCTTTCGATTGAATCCTCAAGCCGTGTCATCTCTTAGTTCATTGTGATGGATTGGAGGCAACCCCATTCTTCACAGCATTTGGTCAATTTGGTCGCGATCACTTGTACTTGTGAAACAAACAGTACGTAGGTACTTGATACATGCACACATCATACATGAATGTGTGTGTGTGAGTGTGTGTTTGTTTATATAGATTATATATTTCATTGTATAAATGTATATATCTATACATATCATTATATATCAATCAAGACATTATCTGCTTTCTGGATCCTCACAAATTGGGATGGTGAATAGTAAGTACTCGTACTAGGCCCTAGCCGTGACTAACCTTTGAGAACTCTGACAGCCTACAAGTCTACTGAGTCCATTGGTTGCATTTTTTTTTCAGCACATTGGCAGACGTTGGCCACTGTGGATATGAGATTGTTGTTTTATTTATCACAGTTCATATTCATGATTTGCTCTAGTGATACCGTTTGGGTTTTGGACCATTTGGAGCTCAGACACTTGGGCATGGTTTTATTGCGCGGAAAATCAGTGTCGGTCAAAAGCCTACATTTTGGAAGACCACATGGCGATTTGCCTGTGGCATGACAAGTGGGAAGAGCTGTTCAACCGAAGAATCTCTAGAAAGAGAGTTTGATTTACATCTTGAACAACCTCGTAGGACATCCCCTGTCTCAAAAGTATTGACACCGAGTTTTCGTGGTAGCTTTTGACTTAGGAGTTCTGCTCATGCCGCTTAGGGTTCCAGATTATCAGCATGAGCAATGCTTGAGATGCTTGAGGTTACCTCTCTGCCTGCATGTACCTGGCTGCATCCGTTCCAACCTGAGTCATCGCAAACGACCTGTGTGAACCAGAACTGCATTCAAAACATTTCAAAACAGATTCAGGGCCAGCGTTTTCACTTGCCATTCAGCGACCCTTTGCAGCTTAGACTGGGAGTGACTGTTCTTTGGTATATTTATTGCAATCTATTGCAATCCTGACAATCCAAGCTGGTCGCCCAGTTGTTGACCCTTGGAGCTGGTGGTGCTTGGGTCTTGCAACGCAGCACATCGCTACTGGTGCGCCGCCACTCAACGACACCTGTTGAGAAAGTAATTGGGCATCCCTTTCAAACAGATGAAGACTTCTCAAGGTTTCATTCCGTGGACCAGAAATGTGAGGGCTGCTTGTAGTGCGGAAGCACAAAAGGGCGGGAAGAAGTGGATGTGCGATTCTGCGAAACCCCATCTCCAATGTGTACTTGGTCAATTTCCTATGTTGCCATGCATTTTACCTCACGGTCACAGCGAGAAGACATGACATTCCCAAGAATATCCATGGGTTTGTGGAGGGGACACCGACGAAATGCTGGAGCCTCCTACAGGTGGTTGCTTCAGTGTTCTTGGCCGCGTATCTCTTGCTGCAGCTTTCAGCGGCTGATACTAGGCTGGGGGCCAAGATTGAGTGTTCAATGGAGGCATGCCTTGGGATGTCCTATGATATTTGTTGGCCAATGCTGGCCGGTTCTTGCTGCACTTGCTCTCTTCGAGCATCCAAGTTATAATGATATATGATTGGAGTCTCTGATACAAGCCTGCTGCCAAGCGAGTGGTTTGAGGTCCCTGGCCTTTTGTACATTCTTGCCAAGAATGGACAGAAAAAGTATATTAGTATAAACCAATGGTGACTTTGGCTCAAGTTTGAGAGACTCAAACTTACCCTTTTTCCTGGCCGCGACGCCGCCGTCACCATGTTCGCGCCGACGGTTTCCATTTGCTCGCCGTGCAATCATCCCTTTGATTTGGACGTTCTATGACGTTCTCGAAACGGACACGGTGAGTGATCTGCGAGAGATGATTTTTAAGCGGAGATTGGACTTGGATCCTGCCAAGCACTACTTGAAACTTGAAACTGATCTTTGGCACCACGGTTTTGGTGGATCCCACTGAGACCCTGAGGGCGTACAAACTGGAGAGAGGACGCAGTCTGGTGGTGGAGAATCCTCGACCATCGACAGCACCGTCACCTTCTGCGGTGTGCGCCCAGCTCTTGAGGTGTCCAGCATCGAAGGATACGGCGCCAAGCTCGTGCGCAAGAACCTCTATGCCCACAGCGAGGACTACGCATGGAGACAACCTGCCAGTAATCACCTTCACTGACAGCGATGAAATTGTCTCGCGCGATGAGCAAGGCTGTTTCTATCATATTGCTAGGTGGATGGTGAAGGTTGGCATGGGATTGAGGTGGAAGTGGTCACGATATCCTCCGTGAGTTCTTCTTGCACTGAACCCAGCGATGTGGTAAACTTCAAGTATCATGACAAATACTCAGACTACTCCGAATATTACTCCTACGATCTCCTACGACTATTACGACTCACATGCAGACAACTAGTGACGTGGCGGGGCCGGGCATCCACGGAAGCAGCAGTGCGCAGCCGTGCGGCCAAGGACCGAAACTTGTACAGCTGGTCCTTGAAAAAAAGAATCGAACTGAGGTTGGCATGTTCAGTGGGGTTCAACAGATACCGCCTTGGAACATCTAATTCATCAGACAGGTCGTCAAAGGAAAGCAGGATATCCAAGTCATGCAACCTCCTGTGAACGCTTGTGAAATGAATATAGTGAGTATATGTGAGTATTGAGGCCCCCTTTTCCTTGAGATTTCACAGCATTTGTTGTTTCTTTCAACTTCTCTTCGCGAGGCAGTTGACTGTCTACGGTTGGATTATGCTTTACCAGTCGGTGGCCCAGCGAGCCCAGTGACCTGCCAGTCCGCAACGTGATAGTCGTGATAGTCTACGACAGTACAGCCAAGGTTTGTAGGGTTGTGGTAGCAGGACACAAACGCACTTGGTAAGAGACTTCATGAAAACTCCATAAAAGCTTCAAGACTGAAAGATTGAGTCGAATCCCTTGAGATTGGGGTGGCAGTTTGGATAGCAGTGCTGCTTTGTGCCTTTGAGGTGCTTGTTCGAGGTCGTCACTGCAGTAGCCACCTTTCAAGTGGGTGTGGGGAAAGCCCAGTGGTTGAGTCCTGTCAATGGCAAGGCTTGGTAGGCCATGAGTGAAGCTACACCAAGGGGATGAAGAGGAGTCATGAGTCATGAGTGTCCCAGACCCCTGGCCCATCCTGGCCCTATACGTTACATGGACCCTCAGAGGGATCACGTATATCGTTGTAGGTGTCTTGCTCAGGGAGACTCACCGATGAAACTGAGCTCAAACAAAGCTGTGAAAGGAAACATGACCGCAATCAGCTGCGAGTAAGTGCCACGATGCAGATCCTGTTAGCCTGCATGATACTTGTCCGAAAGCACATTGAGAAGCATGCTGAGCCACAAATTTGATCTCTGGGAGGAAAGTAAAGTCAAAAGTGGGATTCTAATGGATTCTATACCTTGACACAAAGAGTGGACGCAGAGAGCATTAGATTCCTCATTGTCATAACACATGACGTTGCTGTTTGCCAGAATGGCACCCGGAATTGGCTTTCAGTTTTAGTTTCACGCAACCCTTTATTGAGCTTTAAAGCTGGATGCCTAGGCTGAAGTGACAATGGCGACAGCGGCCAGCCATTCGAAGGAGTGGCCTGGGATATGACTAAGGATGGATCCAGGATATGACAGGATGGCAAAGCATTGAGTTGCCGCATTAAGCTGATCCGTCAACGGAAGATTTTGAAGTTGTTAAATCTTATGAATATTTTTGAAGAATTCTGAAGAATAGATCTTCTCTCCGTGCTGTCACACATTGGGCACGTGCACTGCCCCATGTTGGATGGTAGAATGGGTGTCGACGGTGACCATGTGAACCGCCCAGGCATTGAGAAGTCGGAACCTTGGGAGACTCAGGGCATCCAGTTGGTACGCATTGAATAGATGGGGTGGGGTGGGATGGGGTGGGGCAATAACGTACTCTATTGGACGTATATATATATATAATATATAATATATATATAATATATATTTATGGGTTTGCCTGAAACTAGGGTACATCATTCCATCCCCTGGTTTTAAAGCCTCCCTATACCCATCAAAATGGCAAACAAATATCAATCATTTCTGGTAGAGGCAAACCTGATCCTTTTTGATGGTGAAATCAGTGAAATCTCCATGTTTTCAGGCTCGGAGGTTCGGCGACTCCCACGCTGCGCACGCCTCACCTTGCTATTCAGCATTGAGCCCCAGGAATGGTCCAATTGACTCCGATATCTCCCATTTCCAATCCGCACAACTTATGTTATCTAATGTTATAACTTATGTTGTCTGTTTGTGCTTAGCTCATCTTAGCTCAGCATGCGACTTTACACGAATGGTGTCATTGGATTATGTGTTATGATTGTTATGACTCAGTTATGACTCAGTTATGACCTTTTAGATTTGTCTTCCGGCATGCTTGCTACGCACTGCTAGTGCTTGACACTGCGATTTCAGGGCTTGCTCTGCCAATATGGGTGATATGATGTGATATGGGTTACTACTGAAGGCACGACCGTCCTTTCAAATCTGGGGTGCCACTACTGTAGCCACACCAGGCGCTACCACAGTGCTTGTGGCCGCGGCAGAAACCGGTATCCTTTTCGTGATCAACGGTGGGGAAGTCAGAAGTGTCAGATCAACGGCCCTTTGAAGTGCTTCCCAAAGTCCACATCCCACTCTTGCCTGCCTCAACTTGGTCATTTTCGATCCGGATATCGTTGATTGAATAGACTCTAAATGACTCTAATATCAAAAGGCTTTCAAGGGGGGAGATCACCCTCTCACCCTCTCATCGGAGCTGACTTGGAATCCGTCAGAATGGAAGACAACAATCTCTTCAAGAATGTCTTGCGAAGTGTCGCCAGCAGGTTGGACATCAATGGAGTCACGTTTTCACTGTCTGGGTATCTGTCTGTTAGCGGCTCCTCGACTGCAGGTCAGGGTGGCCTTTGTAGCCCCGTGATCTTTTGTGGTTCTATTTCTTTCAAGGATCCCTTTTTCCCGAATGCGTAGCAAGGGTTCCCGTTTCACTCTGGGGGTCTGGGGGTTGAGGGTGTGTTCGCTCGACGTTGCGTCCGCGTCCGCAACCGTTCGCAACCGTCCGCGCGATCCCCATATGGCCGTGCCTATAGGAAGTTTTCCAGAGGTGGTCCTTTTTTGCGTTTTCAGACGTGTGGTTGCTTCGTTTCGCGTGGCAGGCGTGGCACTTCGTGACATTCAGACGTGTTCTGGAACGTGTCGAAAGTCGTTTTGCGTGGCAGGCGCAATACTTTTGTGACGTTTTCAGAAGATGTGTTGCAGTTTTCGTGGCAGGCGCAGCACTTTGGACGTGTCCATCGTCATTTTTCGTGGCAGGCGCAGCACTTTAGACGTGTCGTGTTGCGTGTTTTTTGCAAATTGCATTGGCAGGGCTGCGTCAAGTGGCGACAAGGTGCAAATTCCGTGGCAGTCGTGGCATTTTGTGCGATGTGCTGAAAATTCACGGAAGCCTCGCACGAAACATCGATTTTGAGGTTGCAAATTTTCAGGTTCTAAGGAAAACTCGTAGGAAAACGTCGATTTTGAAGCTACAAAGTGTGAAAATTGGAGGACGTCTCGCGCGAAATGCTCGTTTTGGTGCTTCCACCTGTCTCGTCTCGCGTGTCTGGTTTTCCCGTGGCCTCGCCGTGTCTATGGGGGAAGGTGCAAAACTTGTCCTTTTGTCATGTTGCCAACTGTGAAAATTGGAGGAAGTCTCGTACGAAATGCTAGCTGCTAGTTTTTCTGCATCCACGTGTCTTGTCTCGAGTCGCTGGTTTTCCTGTGGCGTCGCCGTGTCTATGGGGGAAGCTGGAAAACCTGTCCTTTTCGAATGTTTCCAAGCAAGGTTGTCATGTTGTTTTGCGTGGCAGACGTGGCACTTTCTGACATTCCAACCTGTTTGATGATGTTCACACAATTTCAAAATTGGAGGAATTCTCGTGGGAAATGCTGGTTTTTCTGCATCCACGTGTCGTGTCGCGAGTCTCTCGTTTTCCTGTGGCGTCGCCGTGTCTATGGGGGAAGCTGGAAAACATGTCCTATTTGAATGTGTCCAAGCAGGTTGTCATGTCGTTTTGCGTGGCAGGCGTGGCACTTTCTGACATTCCAAACTTGTTTTGCATCGTGTCGAAAATGTCAAAATTGGAGGAAGCCTCGTACGAAATGCTGGTTTTTCTGCATCCACATGTCTTATCTCGAGTCGCTGGTTCTCCTGTGGCGTCGCCGTTCCTATGGGGGAAGCTCCGCACTCTACACTTTACACTCCGCACTCCACAATTGACACTTTAAACTCCACACTGTACGCTGCACTTTACACTCCTCACTCCACACTTTACACTCCACACTCCACACTCTGCACTCTTCACTCCACACTCCACACTTTACACTGCACACTTTCCACTCCACGCTCCTTACTTTACACTCCGCCCTTTCCACTCCACACTCCACACTTTACACTCCACACTTTACACTCCTCACTCCACACTTTACACTCGTCACTTTACACTCTACACTCCACACTCTACACTTTACACTCTACACTTTACAGTCTACACTCCACACTCTACACTTTACACTCTTCTACGCTCCAAACTTTACATTTTACACTCCACACTCCACACTCTACACACCACACTCTACACTTTCCACTCCACACTGCACACTCCACACTCTACACTTTACACTCCGCACTCCACACTTTACACTTTACACTCCTCACTCCACACTCTACACTCCACACTCCACACTCTACACTTTCCACTCCACACTCCGCACTCCACACTCCACACTTTACACTCCACACTCCACACTTTATACTTTACACTCCTCGCTCCACACTCTAAACTTTACACTCCTCACTTTACACTCCACACTCCACACTCTACACTTTCCACTCCAGACTCCACACTCTACACTTTACGCTCCACACTCCACACTTTTCACTCCACACTCCACACTTTATTACACTCCACACTTTACACTCCACACTTTACACTCCACACTCACACTTTACACTCCACACTCCGCACTTTACGCTCCTCACTCCACACTCCACACTTTACACTCCACACTCCTTACTTTACACACTCCACACTTTCCACTCCACACTCCACACTCCACACTTTACACTCCACACTCCACACTTTACATTCCACACTTTACACTCCACACTCCACACTCCGCACTTTACACTCCTTACTTTACACTCCTTACTTTACACTCCACACTTCAACACCACACTTTCCACTCCACAATCCACACTCCACACTTTACACTCCACACTCCACACTTTACACTCCTCACTCCACACTTTACACTCCACACTTTACACTCCACACTTTACACTCCACACTCTACACTTTAGACTCCACACTTTACACTCCACACTCCACACTCTACACTTTACACTCTACACTATACACTCTATACTCCACACTTTACACTTTACATTCCGCGCTTTCCACTTTACACTCCTCACTCCACACTTTACACTCCACACTCCACACTCTACACTTTACACTCCACACTCCACACTCTACACTCCACACTTTACACTCCACACTCCACACCCTACACACCACACTCTACACTTTCCACACCACACGCCACACGCTACACTCTACACTCCACACTCCACACTTTGCACTTTACACTCCTCACTCCACACTCATCACTCCACACTTTACACTCCACACTCTTCACTCCACGCTTTACACTCCTCACTTTACACTCCACACTCCACACTCCACACTTTGCACTTTACACTCCTCACTCCGCACTCCTCACTCCACACTCTACACTCCACACTCTACACTTTACACTCCATCCTCCACACTCTACACTTTACATTCCTCATTCTACACTTTACACACTCTACACTCCCCACTCCATACTTTACACTCCACACTCCTTACTTCACACTCCACACTCCACACTTTCCACTCCACACTGCAGACTGGTAATAAGGGAAACATGCACAAGACTGTTCAAATAAACTATTGCAGAAAGGTATTGTGCGTGACTGCATAACCATGTGTTTTGACATCTGTACCATTAACA